AAAAAAATCAAAACTCAAACGAGTAAAACGACCTCAACGTTGTCATTTTTCCCTTGACTGAGGGAATGCAAGTCGCTTTTTACTTTTTCCTTTTTTCAAATAAATACATTGACCAACAAAGGCAGTATCAGTCATTGAATTTTTTTTTTTTTCGTGTTTGCTTTTACAAATTAACAACGTTGAATTTTATGTTCTATGAAAAAAAAAATCAAAAAAAGCTGATTAGTACTTTCATTGACTGAGAGTAAATGGTATTGCAATTTCGGGACAAATCGCACACAGAATTGGAGCTGCGGGTTACTAATTTTCTGGGTTGTTTTCCTTTTTCCCACCGTTGACTTGGAATTTTCGTCGTGGCTTACCAGGAAACTTCATTTTATCCTTTTTTTCTTTCGGTTATTTTAATTGTTTTTGTCTTTGTTTTAACCTCACGAGTGCACATTTACGCGTTTAGACTTTAGAAACTTCGAAGCAGGCTGCTCTGAGATGCATAAAGTAATATATACTGGAAGAATCTAGTTGGGACCTTCTCTCTTATTTCTGGGTGTTTTTTACTCTAAAGCATTATCTGCAGGCTAATGTCAATTTATGAATATAATTATTTAAACTGGGAGTGGTTCTAAACAAATTAAATTCCCTAATATTTTCCATCATTAAGTACACTATTTAACATTAAATTTTATGGATTACTTGATAAATACTCTTAATACCTTAACAATAATTAAGATTCCATTTATGGCTTTATTATATTACAATTCTCCATTTTCTATCCTTAAATTGTACCTATTCAAGAAAAATATACTAATTAAATATTAAGTATTGAATTTACTAATGAATAAGTATTATTTTATAAATTGGGTTTCATAATCTTGAGGCCAACAATAAAAAAAATTAATTTTTTTTGAAATATATCAACCTGAGATAAAAAAAAATCTAAATAGAAATTAATTTAAAAATATGCAAAAAAATAATAATTTGAATATACTCTGACTGTAAATAAAAATAAAAATAAAAACTCATCAAAGTATACTCTACTTGGCGAAATTATACAAGATAAATAAATAAATAAACTTATCAAGGAAGAATTCTGACTCCCGCAATGACCAAATCTGCTCACCAAACTTTATTAAATAACAATAAGAATTTCCCCAAATTTGTAAATTAAAAGGTTTGTTCTCTAGGGGTGGGTCTAAACCTGATCAGTTGATAAATTGCATGACACAACCCTTTTCATTTTCAAATTCGTGGACTGTTTCTGATTTTACTCGAAACTTATAATATAGAGACTAATAATTTCGTAATCAGTGACTCAAACATAATTAATCCTTGCATCATGCCCATATGTTAATTAATGTTATATATTATGAATAGATATAATAATTGAATGTTTACATATATTGACTAGTTCAATTCACATATATTTTATGTGTCAAATTGTTGCAAATTGTCTAGGAAGCCAGCTCATCCTATCTCCCCAAAACATCTTTGCATCTCAACTCACTAAATTATACATTGAATTATTTATAGGAAAATAATACAGATTA